CCCGCTCCAAACCCTTAATCATTTTAGTTGCCCTTTTCTGAACCTTTTCTAGTGCCAGTATATCTTTTTTGAGATGAGGAGACCACATCTGTACGCGATGTGCCACAGTGAAAAAGCTGTCCACACATCAGTGAAAAGCAATGGCAGAGGAGAAAGGGTTCAGTAGCTCCCTGCTGCCAAAGCCTTTCACTGCAGCAAGGAAAGACTCTTGCAGGGGGAAGACAGTGGGGAAAGGCTCTCCCTGCTGCCTCCCATCTGCGAAAGCCTTTCACTGCTGCTGAAGTCTTTTCCTGAAGCAGGGAAAGGCTCCAGCTGCAGAAAACTGGCAGAGCCTTTCCCCATTGTCAGAGATTTTTCCTGCAGTGGGGAAAGGCTCAAGCAGCAGGGAGACAGTGGGACACTACACTGCTAAAAATAGCAGTGTATATATGGGGGGCACTGCTTGGGCAAGTGAAAAGTTGTGTAGGATACATACCCACAAGCTTCATATGTCTCTTTACTTGCCTAAGCAGTGCCTCACCACCTACACTGCTATTTATACCGATCCTAGGAGGGCTAGCCATGTATCTACTGTACACACTGCTATAACAAGTGTTCAGTGTAGATATACCCAGAGTATCTAGCCCAGCCAGTATATTGAAAAGTCAGCAATTTCCTTCTGTAGGAGAAAGGACCTGCGTTGGTTGAAAGGTATCCTCCTTGGTTTTAAAACCACCAATGGATTTTCTCCAATTTCCCTTTACTCTACTCTCTGTTCTTCAGCTCCTCTAACCCTGGCCCCTGAATAGACACAGTCTCAGACACTGGTTAATCAAAGAAACTGCTTCTTTGCAGTTCCTTCAGTCTGTAATTGCTATCCTGAATCCCTTTCTCTCATTTATTCGCTCTCTCATTTAAATCTCAGCTAAATAAATATCTTTTCTCCTTTGTCTATCCCCCTACTGTTTAACTATGTAAACCAGTATGAAAGAGGCTATACAAAACTGTTGTCTCGCTCTATGCATTATGACGTTAGTTACTACCAGGACCTGTGGGGGGTTATTCTGTTTAGTCATTTTGTAATTATTTTTGAGCTACTGGTTCATGAGTTTGTAAAAGGGAAAATGTTTTCTCTATTCTGAACATTCAAACTTTAGTTCTCAAGAACCACTCTAGGGCCTGTAGCAGGGTGGACACCTGCTCTGGCCTGGAAGGGCCTGAGATAGCCCAGGGAGCAGGCAATGTGAAGGCTGAGCTGATTAAGGGAAGTGGCTGCAGCTGGGGCCACGCCCCAAACAGCCTCAGCAGGCCCTATAAAGGCTGGGAGCCAGGAACTCAGGCCAGAGTCTCTCTCTGTCTCCAGAGTGAGAAGGGCCTGGCTGCAGGGGAGCTAGACACAGGGTACCTGTAGTGGAGCAGGGCTAGGGAAAGGCTGAGGAGCTGGGTGACTGGCAGTGGCCTAGTGCTGAGGCAAGGTGGTGATAGTGGGTGAGGGTTCCCCAGGAAGGGGAGACCCAGATCTGTGGGGTACTGCCAGGGGGCAGCATCCCAGTAATAGGGGCACCGGGTCCTGGGAGGGACATGGGCGCCAGCAGAGGACATGGCAGATCACCGGCCTGCAGAGGGCGCTTGAGAGGCTGGTGAGCTGATTCCCCGGAGTAACCAGTAGGGGGCACTGCAGGGGTGAGTGCAGACCTCTTACAGGCCTGTAATTAGATAAGACAGGAGAAGGCCAATGATCCTTCTAATCTGATATCCACATTTGGCTAATGCCAGATGTTTTTTTTTTAAAACTATGCAATAAACTAACAAAATTGTTTAAATGAAAAATCAGTTTCTCAATCCAAATGTATCTAAAATACTTTTTTTAATCTTGCTTAAATTCACAAATGATACAATATTGGAGTGTTTTTAAACATACTGTACAATCATGTTAGTTAAATGTTTTACATCAAGGCACAGCACACCATATTTTACAGATATGCCTTGACAGGCAGCAATTTAGTGTAATCCCCGAGATTTGGCAGTATTGCCCAGATAAATAGCATGGGTCACATTTCACATATATGCTAGAAGATAAATAAATAATAGATGCTCTCACATTTTATTTGAAATAGAATTGCATATAAAAAGAATATACAATAATTTAACTTGAATAATTAGATTGTTTTGTACTATACATAACAGAAGTGCTTTCATTTGTTTTTAACAAAACATTTTTAAATATTAGAAGGATGCAAAAAATGAGTCTTCTGTTTGGCCTTCTTGATTTATGGAGAAGAGTTGCTTTCATTAGAAACAAAAGGGAGTTAACATTTCAGTTTCATGGCAATCTGAAAGAAAGAAATCCAAAATTACCAAAATATTGATACTGAAATATTACTTGTGGTATAATGCAAGAATATCCACTGATTGAAACTATTACTTGAACCAACCAGCTTTGTTTTACAAGGTGATCTAACATTCATTACAACTGATTATTTAAACTTTTCACTTTACTTTGAAAAAAAAAAAACTTACAGTAGATGTTCTATTTAAATGTAAAACTGGATTTGTAACACATTTGGATTAACTATTACTGTTTTTCTAGAATCTAAACACCATAAAATCTATTTTTCATCCAAACAAGAATTCTACTTAAGATATTAGCAATGGTAACATTACCAAAGGAAGTATAGATTCTACATATGTTGCAGTGTGCTTACCATTTTCCAGATGTCATTCAGATGTTTATATTTGAGCATTTCTTCTTCGCCTCCCAAAAGCTTTAGATCCCACATTGGTAGGTACAAAGTTGCTCTTGCCCACTCCTCCTGACCTGCTCAGGAAGTCTGCCAGACGATGGGTCACACAGGTTGCTGTGTTACATGCCCTTTTCTGTGCTGTTACACTGCTTTTCAAAATAAAAAACATATATTTTACATAGAGAGACTGTAAAAAATACTTTGCTTATCTCAACAGAGTGTGGTTCTACCTGGAAAAGTATCTCTCTAAAAATGGGATTGTGAAGTTCCATATTTATTGTGTTTCAAGGATTTACATATTATTCACTCAGTTTATGAGTTTAAAAAATATTTTTCTTTTTCTAGCTAGCAGGTGCTACAGACTCAGCTCAGGTTGTTAAAGTCAGACTGGGCTCTTTCTTTCTTGCACATCACCAATAGTTAAGGGTGCCTAGACAAAATTATCCCCTCAATAACACTTGATCAACTCCATTCCCACCAGCAAATAATTGAAATTTAACAGACAACTGTTGATAATGCATAAGGAGTAAAAGAATCTAGCTAAGCCTCAGCTGAGTTGGTTCTGTAGTGCTGATGGAGTATAGTAGCAAAAAAACCTATTTGAGGTACTCAGATCAGCAGCTATGTCAGAACACACAAAAGGGCTGAAGTCCTGGCCCCATTGAAGTCAATGGAAATTTTGTCATTGACTTCAATGGGGCAAGGATTTCATCCAGGAACTAAATCTACAGAGTAAGAAGTTGTTAGGGATTTTTAAATAATTTTTCAGTGTTGAACTGCACATAGTCATTTTCCTTCTTCCATATATCTGATTGCACTATTTAAACAGCTTTCTTCTTTATTTAAGCCTTCACTGAGCAAAGCATTAAGCATTTTAGTAATCCTACTGATTTCAATGGGACTATTCACTTGCTTAGAATTAAGCACATGCTTATGTGTATTGCTGGACTGGGGCCTTAGAGTACATACTTCTATAGTCTTTGTTCAAGCCAGTCTCCTACTGAAATCTATGGGAATGTTGCTTGATTTAGGACTATAGACAGGCCCAGAGACAGTACCATAGAAAACATCCCTGGCAACATGACAATTGTTTTCTGAACAGCTCCCATATTATGAGATATATGTAGTACAGAGGGGAAAAAAAGTTAGAGGTACAAAAGTAGCACTAAATCTGTTGTATTAAAGTAAAAGAATTAACAGAAAACAAGATTTTAAATGAATTACCCAGATATGAAAGCTCCCCCTTTTCATTCTTTTAATATACAAGTCTACCTCACAGGTTATTTCTAAAACTGATATACATGTAAAAAATCCAGTTAATCATGGTAATACATCACTGTAAAGAAGCTTCATGTAAATAATTTTAAGGAAAATGAAAAAGGAATATTAAAGTTCTTACCTGGATGAGTTCAATGAGAACAGTTTTAAACCTGGATTACATTTCTAGTGTTTTCACACTAGTTAATACATGCATTTCTTGATGCTTAGCCATTTCAAAAGTTCATAGAAATTGTTTTACTAGCTAAGATTGTGAGTGTGACTGATTATGTATGCACACATACATATAGAAAGCATTAAAAGGGTCTAGGAGTTCTCCCAGTGTATATGAACATAGTCAAATTGTTCAGGTATTCTGGAATTAAATTATTATACAACTTTTGTTTTGTTCTGCTCTTCTCCAGTTCTGAAGAAATTTGTAAAACTTTTCTAGAAATCTTGCATTCCAACACAATTAATTAAAACAACAGTCCTAATCCTCATAGAAAAATAGGTTTATTGAACAAGTGCATGAGCAGGCATGAAAGAAGAGTTTATCTGTACATGTAATAGCTAGAAATGAAAAGCTTTGTTTAGATTTTTTTTTAAATAAATGTCTAAGAAAATCAGTTGACGTCTCAAGGCAGTGCTGTTCATTCTTTTTTATTTTATTTGGTATATATTTTTTTCTAACTTGGTATGTGTGTTGTGTTCTTTATCGTCCTAACTTTAAGTCCATCTCAAACATTCTCTGTCGAAAACAGAATCAAAATAACACAGCAAAGTTAGCAATCAAGGTTAGATCCACATGCATCAAGTTAAAAAAAAAGGGGGGGGAGAAGGGTGAAAATAAGCATGTTTAGTTGTTTCCCAAGGATTCCCCATAGTTTGCATAGCGTTCATTTTCCAGGTCATTCAGCACATTCCTTTTCTTGCCAGGAGTTCCAGCCCCGACGTCAGTACGAGGGTAAGTTTGCAATTTGTGCAATTCTTGAGACAGTTTGCCCAGCACACAAGTACTCAGACTGGCGCAGCGTTTGGAAATAGGTCTATCCAGGCTGCAGGGGGAAAAAACATGCCAAAAAAGTAATATAAATCATGCACATCCATGCATTACATTCCTAGATAAATAAGTATAATTAGGAGACAAAAAGAAAAGGATAAAATCCCCTCACACTCATTTCATGCAAGAGGGGGCGCACTTGAAATCAGAGGGAGAACAGAGTTTTATCATGAACAAAATTAATATTGTTTACTTGATCAAGCAAATAGATTAGATTTTGGGATGCTGGTAGTCAAAGGATAGGAGGTTTGTCTTCCACTGTACTAGACATGCTGTTCAGTCTCTCATTCATCAACATGCTTTGCAATAGGAATTCATTAAGGTTAATGCAAATGTACTTGCATGCCTTGGCCCTGAGGGAGAGGGTGGCGCTGCGTGCACTAATAGGATGCCCCGCTTCAGCCAATGGCTTTCCATGCCTCACGACAGCATCATGCACTATCGCGACAGAGAATCCAGGAGCGATCGAACAGCCCTTAATACTACCACCGGGAAAACGTACCTCTTGCTGCCATATTTTAATACAACCCCCTCCTTGAAGTTCAACTCACCCTCCAATGTTTTTTTTTATTTGCTCTCGGTTGTAAAAAAAAGATAAAAGCAGGTTAACTAGGTGGAAACCATCAACCTGATACTGACACGGGAAAACATCTATGTAGTACCATCCCTTCCAAAGTATTGTACAAGGTCATCCGCAGTCCCATGGGAGAGGAAAATCTTAGCCTGCCCGAGTGTCTGCTGAGGTGGCTCTTGCTAGGAAATGAAATGGACACACAGAGTGGTCCTGCTACCCCAGCATCTGTGCATATCCCCGGGGCTGTAGCCCTTACCTATTCCCCTCAGTCGCTTGTTCCAGGTCTTCCGCTGTCATCTGAACAAATTCTTTCACCAACGCATTTAATAACCGCCGAGCTTCGTAATCACTGAGTGTCACTCGATCCGTTATAGAGTCTAAGCCAGGTCTAGGTGGAGACAAGCGAGACAGAATGAATACAAGGATAACTGCTGCAGAGACTCTTGCATGTGTGCCCTTAGGTGGATGAGTTCTTGTATACGCTATTCCACATTGCTGAACGTGTCTTTGTCACTAGTGTCCATATGTATACCGAACTCAAGACAAAGACTACTCATTCCCTCACACACTAGATAAGTAATCTATTGCATGTTAAAATATGAGCGTTACAAAAAAGTAATATTGGAAGATCTACGTTTTCTCCTTTACTATAATCCACGTCCTATCTGCAGCCACGAGGAAAACTAAATGTCTCCATTCTGTTCAGATGCAGAGCTCCGAAACTCATGAGTTTCCACAGCTCTCTGCTTCTTACCTGAGTGGGGTTGCTTGGGAGCTATCCATCTGGCACATAACCAAGGCATAAACAGCAAGGAAAGATGAAATCTTCAGCATAACCATAATGTCCTCTCTACAACAAAGAGTCACATCAAACAATGGCCATTTTCCAACCTCCTCAATCTTAACAGATCTACTAAAGATGCAGTCTTTCTCTAGGCACACTTGGCAATAGGTTTCAAGTATCAGAGGGGTAGCCGTGTTAGTCTGAATCTGTAAAAAGCAACAGAGGGTCCTGTGGCACCTTTTGAGACTAACAGACTGTTAGTCTCAAAGGTGTCACAGGACCCTCTGTTGCTTTTTGGTAATAGGTTGTTGTTGTTAATTTGCTTTGGTCTTTTGCTTTAGTTTTCTCAAATAATTTTCAGATTTTTGTATATGACCAAATTGTAATATTTTGAGGTTTTTTTCAGAGTTAGGATTACTATCAAGATGTAACGAAAATGGGATTTAAGTTAATGCAGATCTGTCTATAAACTGATGGGAAACGTGTGTCTTCCCCCCCACCCCACCCCCGTGTTTGAAGCACTACACGTAATTTCATTTAATGTGTCGGATCTGAACTGGACAAAATGGCACTTCAGGTATAGAAAATCTTATGAAAAAGCATGAAAGCTAAAGCTATTGTTATTTTTAAAAGATGACCAGTACTTTTCTGTATTCTCATTTTTGCAGAATATTAATACATGTTAATCCCTCTAATGTTTAATTTAAAAATTAAACAGAATTATGTTTGCTTAGAAAACAGCACATTGTACTAAAGAGTGCTCACTTCCTGGTACAGTTTACATACTAATCTTCCAACTCAAATACAAATTAGATAAAACTATAAAAACAGGTCCATTAAATTGATTTTAATAAAAAATCCCAAAATTATGACCAAAGATAAATAAATCAGATGAACTCAAGTCAAGAGAGCAGAAAGATTTAAAAATATCATATCCTGAAGAACTCCTCTCAATGACTCACAGTTTTATTTAAATACTTTTAGATTAACTTCACCTTTTCACTCATAAAGTAAAACACCTATTACTACCTGCAGCATATATTGCTAGCTAACATACAATGAAGGTTGTCACTTTTTAAATTTTTACCATTTTATAACAGATTTTGTGAAAAACCTCAAAATGATTACAAAAGAAATCAAGCTATGCAGCCCAATAATGTAAAGAGATTAGGGGTTTTTTTTCATACAAAATGTAATATACTACGCAGTATCGGTTGCTTTCAATTATTCTAACGGGATTGTGTATTCCTTCTTTTATCGTATCTATTCTTATTTTAATTTTATTTTATTTTGAAGAATCCAGTAACGTGTAATTTAGAAGACCATACAAAATCTAGCTAATTACAAATTATGCGTTCTCTGAATGCACAGAGAAAAATCAAAATAGAGAAAGGCAACACAAGCTGTAACTTGGCATCAGTTAAAGACCTTCTGCTGCACTGAAGTAAGCTCACCAAACTCTAGATTTAAGAAAAGAAAAAGAAAGAAAGAGCATGCTTACCTTGAAATGCAAAGCTTCTTAAGAAACAGTAAAACGTGGTGGAGGTTTCCTCAATATATGTTTCTAAATCGTGATGCTGTTCAATGCCTAAGTATCCCCCTTTTATATCTACCGCCAGGGTGAAAGTGTGTAGGCGTTTGACCGGCACTGGCCAGCCAATCACAAGGTCTGTTGGCAAAATGTAGCCAATCCACAACCGGGCACGAAACCCACCGGTCTCCCATTACGTCATCTTCCAGTCACTGAGTATTCCATTCACAAAATTTGCTAGTCAGTTGGCTACATCTGATAGGTTTATTTGCCCTGAGGTCATTGAACGAAAAAAAGACGGATCACATCAGACGATTAATGACAACTAAGGGAAATCGTCTCGAGTCATTAATAATGTACAGTCCACCCCCTTACCCCCACAAAAAGTACCATATCGTTTTAATGAAAAATTCAAAGGACATGTTATTTACTTATTAGAAGCGACATCTACTGCAAGAAATACCGCATTGCAGACAGAAAAAAGGACCTTGGCAACGGCGGGTTATCATTATGTTTTTAGTATGCAAATGCGTGGCTATAGTAATGTAATTGCATACATGTTAAACTGTATTTAGTATTTATTACATATATTTTCTAATAGTACAGTTTTTTGTTTCGTAACAAATTAAAACACGAGTGCAGAAGTTATTTCACTTATGTTACTAAATACGTTTAATTATATCACGTTAAGAGTATAGTATCTGGAGCAAATCCGTTATGCGACGCATATTAGAAAAGTTTTTCCTTTGGTACCATGAAGCACGATTCTGCAAACCTTTAGTCATGTGGGTAGTTCCCCTGACTTCAACGGGACTAAATTTTCAGGTTCCTGCCTGGGGATTGCCATGTTACGCATTTTCCCATAGTTCCCGGTATCTAGTGTGGATTTGCATTTGGCCAAATGTATGTGGTAAATCGGGAGAAACGAGGAATTTAAAATAACTAAAAATTAAAACCAAAACATTCATGGAAAGTCCCAAAGCCCATTGAAACTAATATGAATCTTCAGTCCGATTTCAATGTGCTTTAGATCAGGCCTTTTGTCTATAATGAATGAAAATGACTCCCCTTCCTCTGTCAACCAAGAAGAACCATTTCCGTTTTCCCTCTCTTCTACAAGTATCGACCATGCTGAAGTCTTTCCACATAGCCTACCTCGCATTCTTATTGTTAATGTAAACTAAAAACTTGCAAAATAAGTCTTTCTCTCTGGCTATTATATTCACTTTTCATAGGTTTTGAGAACAAGAATAACATTAGTCTCTTGGGTCATTTGAAGATTAGCGCAGCTTAGTGTGGTAGGCAGTGGTGTGGATTGTGGAAAGCAGGTCTGAAGAGAGATGGTTAAGACTGAAGGGATAGGAGTCTACTTTCCTTCCTTACAGGGACTTCTATTCAGAGTTAATACTTAAATTGTGACCATTTACTCTTCTCTATTTCTCCTTTGAACAGGACTGATTTAAACTGGTCTTCGGTATGCATTTTTTGGAGGACAGATTTTACATTCACTGAATCGAACGCAATTACTGCTCACCGTATGAATTTGAATTCCCCTACAGGAAAAAAATAAAAATAATTGCACTGTCTTCTGTGACACACAGTTAAGACTCGTAGTTTATTTAATATAAACCCAGGGGAAATTGCATACTGAACTACTATGTTACCAACGGTAGCACCTGATATTGAGAAGTAATGTAAGACCCCATCTGTATTCCGCAGCAAATTGTCCGCAGAAAGTGTACAAACAGTGGGACTGGCCCGACCATCGTCTCTCAGAGGGGAGGATTGCTAGCAGATGTTGTAGCCGGTGTGATTCAATCATTTCGTGCTACGAGCCCTGTCTTTATTGATTGCCATAAATACCATTATATTGGCAGCTTCCTTTTTACAGGCTGCTTGGAGCAGCTGGAAGTGTTTGGAGTGTGTCTCGCATCCGCGGCTTCCCCCCCCCTTCCTAGTCCAGAGTTGAAGTGGCCACGTTCCGGCAGCTACCCAGCTGCTTCCCTTTCCTGGGCACTTAGAGCTGCAAGAGCTACATCCGCAGTGGAGAAACCTCTGCCCGAGCCAACCCGGCTCAAGCTATAGGGTCAAATGAATCACTCCTAAAGGGTCTCTTAGTCATTGTGTAGAGGCGTTGTAGACGCGTCTCGAGTTTGTACACCTGCTCCATTACAGGATGGTTGGCTTTACTGTATATTTGTAAAGCTGTTTTGCTCACACACATTGACACAAAAACACATCCAAAGGAAAAGACCGGACAGCAAGTAGTTTTTCCTGTGGAAAATATCAATAAGGTGTGTACTTTCTCGGTGGGTCTTTTCTTCATGTCAGAAAAGCTCTTTATAAAGGGCAGTAATAGGTTCTGCCAACAACAACAGATGGGAATAAACCACTTTCTGTTTGCATCATCATAATAAACATTGCATTTTCTTCTCATTTGAGTTAAGTTTCCATTGTGCTATTGAGAATATTCCTGGTGGTAAGTATTATGCTTTTCTTTTACTCTGCTTTCCAAAGTGGGCGCGTGAGTATCCATCCAAGTACCGGATTTCAAATACATTCTGTTAATAACATTGAGTCATAGGAGAGGGAATCGAGTTACTCCTTAACAAGAAACAGAGCATACCAATCTGTAGCTCATCGCGGACCCGGGGTTCAAGCGTAAACCCTAATGTTATGCAAGCAAATTGTTCCCCTCTTGTTCATCTGCTGAAGGGGAACCTTTGCACAAACCATGAGGTCCATTTGGCTGCCTTTCTGTCTGTATGCGTTTGGCAGGGATCCGGGAGTTGGTTCCTGTGTAACGGTGATACGGGGAGTCTGGGGGGGGGGGGGGAGCCAGAAGGGTGGTTACCGAGAAATCCCGCTCTGGGAGCGCTGGGGAGGGAGAAAAGAATTGCATCAGGCTGATTGCTTCTCAGTGCTTTAAAGCAGAAAAAGCCTTTTTATTGCACCCCGGAGACTTACACTGAAAACCTTTTCAGCCTTTCATAAGCATTCAAATTTGTTTGTAGAGATGATACTCTGTAGACATATAATATGAACTGATCACCCATGGACATAATTACTAAGGTAGAAGCCAAAATATTTCTCTCCTAACCCAGACAGCTTTGGACCCCGCGAAATTCCGAAGGCGACCCCCTGCCTCTGACATCAAGTAGATGGATGGGAAAAATCTACAGAAGGGTTGCTGAGTCCTACTTCTACACAAAGCCATCACACCATGTGACCACAATATTAAAGCTTTCAAGAATGATCTGAAAAACTGAAAGAGACTATTCCTGCACGGAAATATTATCCAATACATATTCGATATATACACTCATCTATAATCATGATTTCTCCATTTACTTAAATGAATCATATATAGATATACCAATTCCTTTTTCATTGTTTCTCATTGTTGGAAACTACCGTCTACATGTGCTTGAACATCAAATGTGTGACGTTTTTATTTTAGGTTTAGTTGATATTTGATAATGAAACTTTACATTAACACTCTACTACGACCTTCCATTTCTGAAAAACTGGTGAAATTACATAACCATTTTACAGAATATGGCTAACAACACTTTAAAATGGGTAATTCTGCTCCCAAATCCTCATTTAAGAAATTAAAATCGTATTTCAGGACGCGAGCAGCTGCGCGGAGCACTTTTAAAAATCGGGCCATTCATTTAGGAGCCTAACTTTCTATAATCTGACCTGTACATAAAACATAATTACAGGGATAGCTCCTGTTGTAGTAAAAATATTTAGGTCCCGATTGATAGCGTTTGAAGCAACAAGATGAATGCAAAATATGCGCTGTTTTTGTTAGTTATTTTTAGTTCTAAAGCATAAAGATACTTCATCATAGTGAAAACACGTTTCAAGACGCGCACAATTCACAGGCCACCTAAAAAAGGCATTGCTGATTTTTTTTTCGGTCATCATTTTTGGTTTTCCATTACCAAACTTCCCCCGTTCACTTTAGTAATAATGGTTGCGTAATACACCCATTTATAAGCCGCACACTTTGGATGATTGTAAATCAGCCTCAGGTTTCCTCAGATGACTAGGAATTCATGTCTTTCTAAACTCTCTAAAATTTCCCCTGGATTCAGAATTTAATGACAGTTACAGGTCTAGAGGGGGCTTCGATGTTTTATTTTATTTTCAGGCTTCCGACTTCAACTGCAGTACGCAGTAAATGGCTTTATATAAGTGCACAACTATCCTGTAGATGTTATTGTTTAACTGTAAATTACCTTGGGTTTATACTTTCCCCGAGATTTCTCCATATTTACATATAGAATTTCGACTTTTCAGTTTTTGATGAAAGTGTCCAAATATATTTAAGTTTTATTCCTCTTGCTTACACGAGGTATATTAACATTTTACCACGCCAGTACTTGCAATCTACATGCGCACCGAATTAACTTCATGTACGAAAACTAATCTAAAAGAATTATCATAATTTCACGGGATACAGAAATTAGTGGACTGCTGACTACCACTAGGGCTATTTCAAAGCTTTGCTAAGGATTTTCAGGGCTGCCACAGGGGTGAAATTCTTGTGTTTTTTTACAAGAAGGTTCACCATCCTCTCGGGAATTGTTGACTGTGCGTTTATAGGGATTTCATCTACAGAAAAACAGAACAACTTATTTGCAATTGATATAATGTTCTAAAAGAAAATGTAGGACACTACCCAAACTCATCTGAATTTGTGCCAACACGAAAGCCAAGATCACTTTGCTAAAAGCCATAACGAATTTAAAGATCAATCTGCAGAAATGAGAGTATCTTAACCTGAAATGCAGAAATGTGACTTGCATTTCACTGGAATCCCTTGGGAACAGTTATTGAAGTTTTTATTTATTGATTATTATTATGCTTTTTCCTTCTAACAGATTACTGGAAGTTTGATTTTAAATAACCCATCCAGAATGCTTATTTTCACCAAGGCAATTTCTAATACTCTATTGGAAGACTGAATTAATGTGTTTTGCCTCTTTGGTATCCTTATTTCCGGAAATTAGAAATATTTGTCTTTGAAGCAGACAAACAGGATGAGGTAATATCTTTCATTGGACCAACTTCTTGTCTTTAAAGCAGTCTGTCATTATTTACAGTTAATTCTTTGCTTCACAGGCATTACATTAGTCTTTTCAACATGGCCCGTACAGTTGTGTGTATATATATATATATATATATATATATAT